TTGGTAGCAGGAACGATTTCGCTCGACGCCATGCTAATTTACAAAATGATTGTGAGTTCGAGAAATGAGACTAGCTTTAAACAAAATAATTCTTCTTTAAAACCCTTACTAAAATCCTTTCCTTGTTCTTATCAAAACCAGCATTGGATTTTTGTTTTTCAAATATTTTATTCAATTTTTAACTCACACAAACATTTTTCAATATAGAAGACGAAGAGAGAAGTGGACTATGCGAGTGGACAATTTCTCTTGGCACAGGTAATGCGTCTTTTTCGGATCCATTTCATTACAACAATGTTATTGTATCATAGCCGTTTTTCTCTATCTTCTTACAGGTGAGTATGTTAAACAAATTGCACTTTTCTTTAGCCAAATTTGATGAGGATTCTTTTGAAACAAACCGCAAGTTTTTCCGATGCCTGGAAGTCGAAATCTAGAGCAAAGGGCAATCAGTAAATCACGCTCGATAGTAGATCATTTTTGAAAACTCCCGACAAAACGCCTAAGAAAATACAAGGGCAAAAAGCTCGATAGTAAATCACTTGATATTAAATCACGCTCGACACTAAATCACTTTTGGAGACTACACCACCGCGCAGTGAATCTATCGTGCTCCTAGCCCCAATATCGTTGCGGAGAGAAAAACCCCATTATCTTACCAAATATTAAAAACATTATAACTACCGTAATCTTGGAGCTTTGCAGCTGAATTTTTCATATGCTGTTCCCCAGAGTCGATTCTACCTACCCACCAATTTGGGGGCAATCGGCGTCCATAAGTCCAGTCGACGCTCGATAGTAAATCACGCTCAATACTAAATCAATTTTGAAAACTCCCGACAAAACGCTTCAGAAAATACAAGGGCAAGAAGCTCGATAGTAAATCACGCTCGATAGTAAAACACTTTTGGAGAATCCCTCCAATGGTAAACACGTTTATTTAACGCTTGATAGTAAATCATTGATTTTTAAGCCAAAATTTTGCATTTTCAGCTGCAAAATATTCAGCTAAACGATTGAAACCGAAAGCGAAAAAGAGCATTCAACAGCAAATTCATTCATTCAAATTTCATTTCCATTTCATTACTTATTTATTAAGAGTTTTTTTCAGTAAGTAAATCTCATAGTAAATCACTAACTTTTGCCATTTTACTATAAAAGTTTACAACTGCTTATATGCTGTTGCTTATATGCTTATATGCAACTGCTTACACTGTTGCTTACAATCAGCTGCTATTCTAATTTTCTAGTCATTAAAAACAGTTTTGAAAAGTTGTATTCCTGCAAAATCTAGTGTTTACTAGTGTTTAAGCATTTAAATGTCGTTTTAAAGCCACAAAATGTTATTTGACAGCTTATTCACAGTGTTTTTGATGTTTTTAGGACTGATTAGTAAATCACGCTCGATAGTAAATCATTTTTCGAGAATCCCTTCAACGTTTTACTATCGAGCGTCGACTGTACTCGTCCACTCGTTTGCAGATTTCGGCTAACAACGTTCCATTCACTCTATGCCATGTCGTGTGTCCGTTTCTCTGGTTGGCCACAATGGATTCTTCTCCGGAAATTGCCGACTTTGCCTATTATTTCGTGAATTGGCTCATGTACTCCGGCTGCCAGCTGTATCACGGGTACAAATCACTTCCTGTTTTTGCTTTTGTTTTCATTTTTTGGTAAAGTAATAAGCTTGTTTTTCTTTATTAGGCTCATCACGATTTATCTGTTGCGAAGAGACGAGAAACAAGTGCGGAGCCATACGTAAAGTACCCAATGTAAACGTCAATATAAACGTCAATATAAACGTCAATATAAACGTCAATGTAAACGTCAATGTCAACGTCAATGTCAACGTCAATGTAAACGTCAATGTCAACGTCAATGTCAACGTCAATGTAAACGTCAATATAAATACCAACGCAAAACAGAAGAACCCTGCATCATCCACCAAAATAGCGTCACTATTAACGTTTTCAAATAAATATTCAAGCAAAATCTATTTTTTTTACGGCAAGGCAGAATTAAGATCGATCCAAGAATGGTAGATATATGAAAACTCGAATTTCGAGTATTGAATTAGATGAATATCAAAAATTTTACTACTTCTTCAAAAATTCATTCAGTACATGTGGATTAGGAGATGCTTTTGTAAATTTACATCCAAGACTCCATTTCCAGTATTTACATACGACTATAGCAATTTGCATTTAAATGTTTAGATCAACAGAAATAGAAATGAATGTTTTTACGTTTTTATATATGGACTTTAAATATATGCCGTATTTTCTCACTTTAAATAAACTTTAAACTTTAAATATATGCCGTAGTGCACCCTGAGCGTCGCCTAAAATGATCGAGAGATCGAGAGAAAATGAAGAGAAATCCCTATACTACAATAGGAAGAGAACAGCAAAGAAACGCTTCGTTGCACAGAAAGCTCGTTGGCTAATTTTCGGATTGGTTGTTGTTTTTGTTGGATTTTTCGTGCTCATCAGCTCTGTCTACGCGCTTTCTATGTTGCAGTTGATGATTCTAAAGGTTGTTGATTCAGAGTACGGTGAAATTTCATTAGAAACATCTACATAAATAGTGAACAAGCCTCTGAATAGACGAGTCGATGTAGATATATACCGTATTCTCTCTAATAGTTCTCAAAAAACATTCCGTTATTTCTGGTCACCCTGTAAGTGAGTGGTTTACACACAGAATCAAGTGACTTTCTTGGTTGTTCAGTACCGTTTTCATATCTCTGTTGTTTCAACTAAAACAGGTCCTTTTTTTTGTGGAGGAGTCCGATGTCCATCAACCATTCCTCAAATTGTTCGTCAGGAAGGAGGAGTTTGGCACTCAACTCCAGCAGAGTCATATCCTTTAAGGCATTGTTTCTAATTCTTGCCATTTTGTGCTTATTGAATTAACGATAGCTTGGCTCATTTTTGGACTCCTTATAGGGAACTTGAGGTTAATGAAAAAATTTAAAGGGGAGGGGGGTTATTAATCGCGGCCGAGTGACCATAAAAAATTTTTTACGGCAACCACCTGTTTCATTGTCTTGTCAATTTCAATTTTTTAGCTTTTAGAATTTTAGAATAAAAATTTCCCCCCTCCCCTTTAAATTTTTTCATTAACCTCAAGTTCCCTATAAGGAGTCCAAAAATGAGCCAAGCTATCGTTAATTCAATAAGCACAAAATGGCAAGAATTAGAAACAATGCCTTAAAGGATATGACTCTGCTGGAGTTGAGTGCCAAACTCCTCCTTCCTGACGAACAATTTGAGGAATGGTTGATGGACATCGGACTCCTCCACAAAAAAAAGGACCTGTTTTAGTTGAAACAACAGAGATATGAAAACGGTACTGAACAACCAAGAAAGTCACTTCATTAATACCCCCCTTTAACAGAATTTTGATCGATGAAGAAATCCCTCTCAAATGGAAAGAAGAATCTTTCGTTATACCATTATCAAAATCTTCCCCTAAAAATCATTTCTCAAACTACCGACCCATTTAGCTTGACCTCACCCCTATCCAAACTTTTCGAAATTATCATTCATAATAAAATAAACAGTCATCTAAACATGAACAATCTTATATCCGAACAACAATTCGGCTTTTTGGAAAACAAATCCACAGTTGACCAATTGCTTTTATCTTGTAGAGATTTTGTCCGGGTTATAGAGAATAAGCACAAAATGCAACTTGATGCTATTTTTCTCGACTATGCTAAAGCCTTTGATACTGTCCCACACTCCTTTCTGAGCTTAAGAAGCTTAAGAAGTATAAAATTTGTCCGAATGTTATAAAATGTATCACCTGCTGGCTCACAAATCGCTCTTTTAAAGTCTCGGTAAATAATTGCATGTCTGATTCCTATGCCTGTACTAGCGCAGTGCCCCAAGGAAGCATTTTAGGACCTCTACTTTTTACGATTTACATCAACGATTTACCTAATCTAAATCTAGCCCGACCTTTCTCCAAGATATGGCTCTATGCCGACGATGCTAAGCTAATTTTTGAGACTCCATTAAATGATATAAATAAGTCTGGATAGCTCCTTTCATAAAACCCAAAAAGATCTGAGCACAGTTGAAATTTGGTTCAATATTTGGGGTTTAAAACTTTCTCACTCAAAATCTATTCATTTTAGTACAGGTAAAATAAAAGTCCCCCTTAAAATTGGTAATACCGCAATAAAGTCCATAGCTAACAATGAATCTCTTCGCGATTTAGGAGTCTACATATCACCTCCTCTAAATTTCTCTACACACATAGAAAAAATATGCAAGAAGGCGTCCTTTTGTGCGGGCAAAATTCTTAGATCTATTTGCACTCGAATAGCACTATTCAAAATTGATTTTGCTAACTACTCATCCGTCAGGTATAAACATAGATTGAAACTTTTCTCACTTGAAACCTTAGAACAGCGCCGTCTTATCATAGATTTGGTTGAGTGCTTTAAAATTGTAAAAGGAAAACATCAAAACCCTCTTTTTAAAAATTTTTTTCGGCTAAACTCGAGGCTTTTAACGACTAGGCGTGGCTCTTTTACCTTGCATTCCGAAACGGCTTTCTCCAAATCCTCTAGAGCTTTTTTTGTAAATCGTGTGATTAAAGTTTGGAATGCCCTTACCGACAAGTTGCGTTTGATCTCCACCGTGTCTGATTTTAAAAGAGCTACTTCGTTGCATTTTAAGTGACTTTGTGATCTTTTATTTGGTACATTTTTCATGTCGTTTTCGCACTTTATTTCTTTCTAAATAAAGTATTTATATAAATCACTTTATTTTCAAAAATCCTACAACTCAAAAATAAATCATAAACATAAATAATCTTTTAGAAGAACGCGAAACTGGGTATAATAAAACTTTTTACCGCTGTCACTCTGTTTCGATCGAGTTGAGGTGACTTTGGTTCGCCGTGTAGAACTCGATGAGGCTTTCCAGTGTTGAGAACCTGAGCAAAAACGTTGAAGAATTTAAGTTAGAATAAAATGCATAAAATTACAACAAAACCCACCACGGTCCAAGCTCAGCGTTGTCGATATGCCATAGATTCTTAAAGCATTGGCTAAGTTTACTAATCCAATTAAAAACTCACCAAATCCCCGTCGACTTTCCGTTTCTTGAGCACGTGGAATTTGCGGCCACCACGGAAGACAATCTTCAAGGGCAATTCAACCTAAAACAGTAAGAGTTAAAGGCATTAACTGAAAGAAGAGCGTATCAATAAAGTTTTAGCTAAAAACTGTTACAAAGCTCGAACCAATAGTAATTTAATTGATAATAAGTTAAGAAAATACACGTTTTCAGACCTAAAAACAGGTTTTCTTAATTAATTTTTGCTGGATTACAAAAGTGGTTCCAATTAGCCTTTAAAGAGACAAAACTCACTTCCACCGTCGACTCGTAATCCTTGCCCTGGTGATAAAAACGACCGTCTGTTTATTGGCTTCGCGAAGGGCATCCTAAAAACAATAATAAGTTGGTAACAGCACATTAGAGCAAGTAAAGCCAATGCTCAACAACTGAACCCTCAACAAATACACCTCGGTAGTGACGGATCCAATGAAATAGCCTCTCTTAAGAGAATTACTAAAAGTTGGAATTAACAAAAAAAGTAACAAAGAAACGACCCACCCCGTGCTCATTGATGCAAAAATGATGGGTTTCTGGAAACCCCGAACAACTCGTTCTCCTGCAAATTGCTGATAAAATGCAAAACCTTATTCATCTTCTGTGAAAACTTTATTCAACTTCCGTGGAAATATAAATGAAAACTAAATAAACATCGATAAAAATAATAAATACAAAACCCTTTTTGCAAAAACAAATGTGACCGTATTTACATAAGCCCGTGATTGTTAATTCGATGTAAAAAGCCCTAGTCCTCAGCGCTAGCGCAACCCGTCGACCTGATCTAAAGATAAAAATGGTTACTATTTTGTACTTAATTTTAGAGCCTTTGGATTTCAATGCCCGTTCACAAAATTTCTCCAATAAAAAACCTTTAATCAGAGCATCTCCCTTTCCGGTATTAATAGCGTTGATTCGTTCCTGTTCATCGCGTGCCAAGATTTGTGCGTCACTCAGCTGTGCGCAATATCTAAAAGAGATGAAGTTTGAAAAACAAATAATCCATCAAACCTCAAATGATCGTGATTGATTCCAATTTGGCGACAAACATAGCATTGAGTCTGGCCGCAGCTGCCGCAAGTCATCACATGGCAACCTCCGTTCTAGAGTTCTCGATTAAAAACGAGTTGAAAAAACGCAACTTTTGTGAATTCCACTCCACAACTGCATCTGCGAATGACAATCGCGGTCAATTCTTCTTCCCTAAATCATAAAATCTCATAGTGTATAGCCAAATTGCAATAAGTTCGATCTAGCACATAGAATCAACCAACTTTCGCTTTCGAGCCTCATCAACAGCTGTCATCACATCCTCACACGCACGACCCTCATGCTTCTCATCGTAGTCCTTGCCACAAAGTCTAAGATGAAAATTCTTGGATCTAAAGTCTAAAATTGCACCGGCAATATTTGTAGTTGCATTCAGGGTTGAGGCAGAAAAATCGCGGCTGTTTCTCTGGATCTTCGACGATTGCGGCAAATAGACAGCGTTTACAACTGAAAGACACTTTTTTATGAAACGGTCTGAATGCGTTAAATTATTATGAAAATGTACAGTATAAAACCAACTGTGTCATGTTCTCGATTTTTACGGCAGCAAGCGCGGCTTCCGTGGCTCGCTTATCAAAGAGCTTTCTCTCGTCCGCGTTAAGCAATGGTTCAATTTGATCTAAAAAAAGTAAATTTTAAAAACTTAAAATCCTCACAAGTTAGAATAACTCCTGTGCATTTCTCAAGGCATTTCACCCCACAACCACCAGGGCCCATTGTCATTTCGCTCACCGAAGTCATCGCATGTTGTTTCACGCAATCCTTGCAGAAAAGATGTGAAGCTTAAATTCAAGATTTAGCTCAATGACTTTATTAATAAATTACTATATTCTTTGTCATTCGAGTCGAAATTTCTGCAAAAAACACCATCCTTATCAACGTTTGTAACACAGCAAATCGGGCATTCAAACTGCGTAAGAGCCAAAACTGCGGTTAAAAAATCCTAAAATTGATATGCGAGAAAGGTTTGCAATATTTCCAATACTTACAGCATTTATCATTGATTCGTACTTGGTCCATTTCTCATTTGCCATCTGTGGGAGCTGGATATTGTGCTTTTCATTTGCCTCTTTCATTCGCATCGCATTAGATTCGGATTCCATTTGAAGCTTATTGGGAATGACTAAACATTAACAAATCCATAAGACAAAACGACTTCTTTTGCATCTAAAATCTTTCAAAACCTACATTTCTGTTTTCGCAAATCATCTGTGTACCCCATTTCAACGAGTCGAAGAATGATGATGCTTTGGTAGAAACCGCGTTTCTGCATTACCTCATTGATTGCACATTGCCGGATCTAAATTAATATGTAAAGATTTTAGCACTCCAAGAATTAACCGTGGGAAAAGCATCACGTAGGAACATGCTGATTTTCGTCTCTTCCATTGTCGTACGTTGCACTTCCTCTTCAGACTTCTCTCTAAACATTATACGATATACATATTCAACAAAAAATATTGGTACAAACTTTTTCTCCAAAGCACGCAATTTTGACAATAGCTTTTCTTTTAGCATCTCTCTTTGAATCTCTTCTGGGTTGATGACTCTGAAATTACAATTTAATAGTTTCACTTTATCACTAACTGTTCAGAAGCTGTATAAGATGGCTTTGGGGCGACCTTGCTATTGACGTTTGCTGGCTCGACTTTTGGCGTCATCGATTTCTAATACTTAAACATTACGGATAGCGATAAAACTTACAGCAAGTTCGTCTAAACGAAGGAAAAGTGGCTCTTCATCCAAATGCAAGTGTTCACGAATCGTCGCCTCCGAAAGTTGCGGGAAGACTTCTCTCTAAACAAGTCAGGTATGATGAGGCTGGACTTATAAGCTTGTACTTATTCACAAAACTAAACCCACCATTCCAATAAGTTTGTTCCTTTCGTGGTTTTGCTCCATCTCCGTGATTTCTGCTAGAACACCCTAAAGATAGCTATTAAAATGTTTAAAAATTAACTGAACTTCAAAATCATCGTCGAGAATAGGCTCATCGACGACAACACTTTGTTCTGCCATCTGAAAATGAGAAATTTGATAATTTGACATTATTTGCCAAAAATGCTTACGCAATATAATTTGTTGCAAGGGAAAATAATGTGTACAAAGAGGTGAGAGAAGAAATGGGCAAAAGGGAAAATTGGAAAAAAGATTTGATCGCCACAAAAAAACCGCTGTGAGTCTTTTCAAAGGCCAAAGCGCAAATTCTAAATTTTAAAACTGAAATTCCATAGGCTAGAAGCTAGACCTGCTTATCGGAATTCCGATATGGATCTTAACGAGTCCTGGATTCGGTCGGACAGGGTAACCTTATCGATACCGAGTCCTATCCATCCAAAACCCATAAAGATTCTTCCGCTTGGAATAATTTTAGGCAAGGCTTGAAGTCAGGTATATTTGTTGACTTTGATTGAACACAACAAAAGCGATGACAAATTTTCGAAAAGGGGATGCTGACTATGGTTTGACGAAATGAAACTGTGAGCACCGATTTTTGCATCACTACCTAAATAAAGAAAGAATGAGTGGACTCGGTATCGCTTCCGATAGCTTAACAAGTCTTGGACACGGTATCGATAAGGTTCCAGACCCGTTTAGCAGGTCGGCTAGAAGCGAGTTCAACTTTTGAACGAATCAGAAATGCTACTTGAAACTCTCAACAGTCTTTTTACTGGCAAAAACCAACAAAAATCTTTATTCTATTGTTAAAACAAAAAATGAAGTAAAATTTCAAAGCAACAACAACGAAAAATTAACGATTAAAGGGATAAAGGGGCTTAAAAACTATAACTAAATTAAACAAGACACTAAGAACGAGAAGCAAAACGTTATTATATCTGCATAATTTCTTAAAGTGGTACTGCATTTTTCAACTCAATTCAATAGTTCATTTTAACGGAAAAAGAATTTTCAATTGGTGACCCTGAAGCGGTAGTTGTAGTTGTGCGCTCGCGTTGTCCACCCGATGAACAGCCACTGCTCGAAAGTTGGGTCTCGGTGAAACGGGGACGATCCTCGGGAGGCTTGACGACTTTTATCATCTCCAGTCCACGATAGAAGCTGCCGCACAACATTGGCTGATGGTCCTTGAATTTATGAGACTCATCCCAACAGTCATTGCACAAGTATCTAAAATAATCATTATAGGAAGTTCGAAAGTTTACAGCCAAGTCAACGTTACAGATTGTTTATGTTATAAGTACCATCAACGCTTCAGAATAACTTACTTCAGACAGGGAAGCTCAGCACAGAATTTGCTTCCGGACTTTGTTCTACATCTGTCGCAGTAGAATTCGTCCGAGAGGTATGGCTTAATTTCAATCTCCTTGTTCGAGCCGGGCACATCGATTGTCAACAGACGTCGAGCCAGTGAAATAACGTAAGCTTCACGCGACGCAAAAACGACTCGAGCGGTACCCTGAAGAGATGATTAGAAGTTACCAGATGAACCAAACTTACTTTAGGATAATTGGTGAACCGATCGGTTTCAATTTCCACAATAGCGACATTTCCAATTTTGTCCATCAATGTTCCAGCCAATTGTTCTAAAACGTAAAGTTTTAAAAAGCTACAATGATTTTTGACCTGCAGTTACGATCCGAGGCACTCCACCAATAAAAGTCGTGAAGCGTTCCAAGCTTGTGAAACTCTCGCTGCTAATCGCTCTATTTTTCCAAAACTTTTTCTTGCAAATCCATGGGCGAATTTGAACCTAAATCCGAATTGTACTCATCTTAAAAAGAAAAAGAAAACCTTTTTTTCGATTGAGTCAGCCTTGATAAGCATCATCTCTCCGTTTGGTGAAGGTTGACAGCTGTAGAGCAGTCCGTGGACGCTTTCTTCTTTTTCAAAGATCGCAAAAGCAAAGCCATTGTTTGGTGCAAAGTTATCTTCTTCCCGATTTGGCCAATCCACCTCAACTGGACCAAACTTGCTGAGTGCTTCGGTGAGCATAGCTAAAAGGTAACGTTTTAGCTTTCCTGAATAAAGCTCCAACCTGCTGAAATACAATAGTTTGATTCGTTCCGCGGGAGTCCACCAATGAAGATTTTTCTTGAATACGTTCCCAGAGGAGTTAGTTGGTTGAGCGTCACTAGAAAGAAAAGTTTACTGTTTCCAACACGTTTACAAGATCAATTTTGGCAATTCACCTTTCCTAATTGCAAATAGAAACTCACTTCTCTCCACGTCTTTCTCGAAAGTCGCGGCAGTGTCATTCGTGTAATAACTTTGTCGTTGCATGGCGCTCGCGCGAAAACTCGCGGCGTTCAGCATATGTCCCAAGTTCAAACTTTCGCAATTTATCCAAGTAGAGAAAATCGTTGGAGCCCAACCTGAATAGAATATAAATTTCGTCTCATGTTCCACTTAAAGACGAGCTTATAAGACTAGCTAATTCAGACGTAATCAGACTGTTTTGCACTGGTAACGAGTAAAAAGTATCTATAGCAGTTAAAAGTCCAATCCCTTCATCTGTAGCTTTCTTGCCTTGCAATCTAAAAATACGACAAAAACTTACAAGGATTGTACATTGAGTAGAACGGATATTTCTTCACCAGTTCTCGATATTCCTCACTATCCATTGCATCCGCTTCCGACTTGACGACACCTAGAAGAAATGTGTAAAGTCTGGTTCTACGCCGGTTGGGAGGCGGAGGGCAATTTTTTTTCTTCAACACCACTTTTTCTGAGGTAGTTTTATGCGTAGCTTCTAAAAAACACAACGAGAGCTTGAGAAAATGCGTTTTAAGCAAAGTTTCGGGCCCTCCAAAGTGCGCACTCATACAGTGTGGTGAGAGCGATCCACATAGGAGAGGTGATACATACAAAAACACTTTTTGAAGCGAATAACTTCTTCTGGCATAATCTAACCTAGTGATTAGGTCTCTGATCAAATTGGAGCAAAAGAAAAATAATTTTTTCCAAACTTTTGACGATGTGTTCCCCCACATGAGTCAAAGTCCCAAAAAACATTTTTCAATTTTTTTTGCCTCTACCAGTCAATTTATGTTAGAAAGTGAATATTTAATGGTTTAAAATGGTTTTGGCACTAGTTTTTGACTTTGAAAGTGCCCAATAGTCGATAGCTTGGGCTCCATCTAGTGAAGCAGACTATAGAAACGCGCACTCTGGAGGCCCGAAACTTTGCTTAAAACTCATTTTCTCAAACTCTCGTTGTGTTTTTCGGAATCTACGCATAAAAATACCGCAGAAAAAGTGGTTTTGAAGAAAAAGTGTTGGTGTGAAAAATGTCAAATTTTTTGCGCAACTCGCGATAAATTTCTTCCAAGTGTGCTAATCTTTAAGATTTGGGTGCCATTTTGTTGCACTTGTCGAGACCTACAAAATGACACCAAAATCATAAAGATTGGCCGGAAAGTTTTGGAAAGTTGCGCAAAAAAATTTGGCGCAAAGTAGCTCAAACGCAAAAATCAAATGAAAAATGATGATGAAATTTGCGCAGACTCTTTACAAGAAAGACGCGCCTCTACAAAAGTCAGAAGTGCGTCAAAGACAAAAATTTGCATTTAAAGGGCTTATATAAATCTCAAAGCAGCTTTATTAAATTCATTTCGTCAGTCTCTCTTCCACCACAATTTGTGTTTTTGGCTTTTTTTATGAGTTTACTTTTTTTGCACTATTTTCTCGATTTCAGGTTCATTTATTCGTTTACTGCTTACGGTGATGGGCTCAAACTGTCGCGATGACCCACAAATGCCACAGGTGATGGGGTTTTGAAATTGGGTTACGACTGGGGAAGCTTTGCAAAACTAGAATCAAAACTTACAAATAGGAAACTAATCATTAACTTTAGCAATAACTTTACTGTTTATCCTTATCGTTTTGCCTGCTTCAGGTCGGACAAATCATTGAACCGCACACGACGGAGGTGGGCTCATTCCGCGTTCTTCGTGTCATCTATTCTGGTCCATTCTCCGATGTTTATCTCCTTGGAAAGGTTAAAAATTTTTATTCTAGAGCTTTCTAGCTTTGTTTTGGAGCCTTTTATTCAGTCTTTTCTTTTCAGAAAACGAACGTTAACGAGAAATTTGCGATGAAAGTTGAGCGACAAGTTGGCAATATTAGGTGATATTTTTCTGACCTTATATTGCTATACTTTTCATTTACAGACCCGTGCTGAAGTTGGACGTGTTTGTGCTGCGCGAGATGAACACTCAGACGGGCTTCCCTCGTTTCATCGGTGCCGGTCAAACGCCCTACTATAAGTACTGCATCATGGAGTTGTTGGGACCCGATTTATCAAAATTGCGGCGATCATTGGATGCGAAAAAGTGAGTAGCGGAAAATTTTCATTCTTAAACTTTGTGTTTTTAGATTTTCGACGACAACCGCTTTACAGGTGTGCATTCAGACGCTACAACGACTTGAAACCTTGCACGATCGTGGATTACTGTGCAGGTATGCGTTTAAGCACATGAAAACTAGCATTAAAGACAACTTTTGGGCTAGATAGATAGCTTTGAGTTATTTTGTTTTGTTGTTTAGAGATGTGAAGGCGCCAAATTTTGCGATTGGATTAGAGAGCCGAGCGAGCACAATCTACATGCTTGACTTTGGATTTGCTCGGAAATACAAGTATGTGTTTAGGAATGGTTGATTTATGCCGTGTTTTAAGATGAATGGCTCATCTATAATTATATTTTCTTTAATTTTTCTTTTTGCTTTAAGTTGTGTCTTTTTACATACCGTAAATACTGTAATAATACACCATCCCCCTCGTACAGTCGCGTAGTCGCAAAAGTTTTTTAGTATTTCATTTTTTTCGAAGCGCCCGTACTTTCAAAAAGGCGTCTTTGGTATCAAAAAATAGCTGAAATTCAGGGCTATTTTTTGATACCTAAGCGCGCATTTTAGCATAAACCAGTGTCGAGAAAAGCTTATTCAGAGCTAGACTACGCAACACTCCGCACCGTCATTATGGGGGTGGAGTACTATTAAAGTATTTACGGTACTCGTTCAAAATTTGCAAACATTTAATTATTGATCTTGATTTAGATATGAGGCCGGCGCCAAATTTTCCGACTCCCATCTCAAGCCGGCGTATCAGCGTTCAACCTTCGGGACTTCATCAGTCCAGGACAATGTCAATGATCACAAACATAATTTCTCAAAAAGCACGATAATCTTTGCCTTTTAGCCAAATTGTTCACTGTTTTGAGTACCTCGTACGCAAATGCTCAGTTTTATCTGTTTCCCGATCTGTTGCCGGAAATGGATCTGAAATTGTTTTGGCTGCTCACCCAACTCGGCAACACTTTCTACGGAATCAATGCAACAATCGTCATCTTCACTTGCTTTCCCAACGTATGTTAACAAAATAGATAGCAAACTAGTGCGATTTTAAAATCCTGATTCAAATCTGACTTCTAATAATTGTCTTGTCGATAGAATAGATGATTTAGCATAAAAAAATTATTTTAAAAAAGATTGGGGGACATTTGAAACACACTGCCTCCTTTGCCATTGGCAATTCAACTTTGAACTCAAATTTCTTGGTGTTTCGCTGTTCAATATAAATAGTTTTGTACGAATCGATAGAGGAAGACTTGGTGCATCCAATAATACCAAGAATATTTCAATTGAACAGTCCAACACCAAGAAATTTGAGCTCAAAGTTAGATTGCCAATGGCAAAAGGGGCGGGGCGTGTATCAAATTTCCAATACCCAAAAAAATAGTAGCTGCATCAATAAACAAATCAAATAACATTGAAAGTTTGAAAAGTCTCCAGTTTAGGCGAGAAAATGTCTGATGCAAGTGATTCGTCGACGGGTTTTCTGTGGAACTCAGAGGAATCATGTGGAGATTTTCTCAATCTCAGACCGCGCCACTCCAATGTTCAACCAAAGTTGAAGCAAAAATCTCTATGGCTTTTATGTTCTAAATTTCATTAGAAACATTTCTCTTCTTTTTTTCAAATAATACTTTGTCAATATATTAATATGTCTAATAATGTTTTCTAATTTCTAATAATAAATAGTTTTCTATTGGGTTGGGGAGAATGAGTCGGCGCCAAACTTTAAAGGGACTTTTTGCACACATAAAGCCTTCTTTAAACATTCGTTTGGTTTCATCAAAAGGATCCACTATTTCTCTACAAAATCACTTTTGAGAGATTCCACAAAGCTTTTCTTTCGTGGAGTTTATGAACTTCCAAACGCAGCTGGTTAAAATGGCAAAGAGTCCGACTCATCATTTGAACAGTTTCTTTCACATAAACCTTCTTTGGTGTTTATATAAAAAAATAGAGCACATTCAATTACTTAAGTTGCCAAATTTGCAGGAAGATCCCACCAATGGTTTTTTCTAGATCACAGTTTGTAGTTTTTGTGAAAAAATGGCTTTTTCTTGAGCGCAGGCGCTGTTTGAATTTTCTTTTAAATGTCATTTTGTAGAGAATTAGTTAACCATTCTACTCATTTCAAACGCATATTATTTGACAAAGTCGAATAGAAGTTTTAGACATTTTTTTCATTTTCGGCGCCGACTCATTCTCCCCAACCCAATAATAATACGTTGCACAAAAGTCAGAAAAAGAAAAGTGGTTGCCAGATGAACAGAAATTCATAAAAATCTTCAATCTGTATTCAACAGATTCATAAGATATCTTTAAATAGAATTTCAATTTCAAAATTTTATTTTTAGCAGCTCATTGGGATTTTCTGTTGATCTAAAAGACAATGAAGATAAAATTATCCAATTTTTTTTCAATTTTCATTTCCACATCCCGTAGAGGATTTCCATTTGTCTGCTTTTGCAACTTTAGATTTCACGAAATGCTCTACATTCTCATTTCACTTCTTCTTCTTGCGCAAATGACTTTGGCTATCAAAGATCGGGTGGGATAGCAAGAAATTTGAAAGGTTTTTGATGGAAAAATTTTGCACACTTGACACCAAAAGTTCCCGTACTTGTATTTTCTGCATTTTTGGTAATTTTAGATAAAAGATACGATTTTAAAAGTAAGAAATTTGAGAATTCCTCGCGAAAAACTGAGTTAGAAAAAGTTTCTGGTTAATTTATAAGTGCAACACTATTTAATACAAGTGATTGAGAAGAGGGTCCGCTCAGGGGCGCTTTGGCGCACACTGTATTTGATAAAGTGACACTGAAAAGATAGATTTTGTTCTGTTTTCTGTTCTGATTTCACGGTTTTGATCTCGTAAGGGTTACTTGTAAGTCTAATCTTGTAACTTAAATACAGCTCTATCTTTAGGATCGACTAGTCAACAGCCAGCACCCCGACTTTTTCTTCGATGCTCTCTTCCAAGACTTGCAGTCGTGCACGACGCGTGCCGACTGTAACAAGAGTAACGATTGCTGTCAAAATGTTTGCACGAGATGGCACTGTCATCATGAATAATATATTGACAAGGAAAGAGTGGAAAAGCTTATAAATTGTGTATGATTGAACAGTTTTTATTTTTGAAATCTAATGGATTTTTTGTGAATCACCAATGTCCAACACTTCTGTATTGTCCAACTAATGATACCAAGAATATTTCAATTGAACAGTTTAACACAAAGAAATTTGAGCTCAAAGTTAGATTGCCAATGGGAAAAGGGGCGGGACGAGTATAAAAGGAACGCCCCGCCCCCTTTGCCATTGGCAACCCAACTTTGAACTCAAATTTCTTGGTGTTTCGCTGTTGAATATAAATAGTTTGTGTACACTATCTGATCTACCACCGATTTTACTTTAGGCCACGGGTCCAGCTCAGGCTTAGGCTCAGGCTTAGGCTTAGGCTTGCTTTCGGTTCGAATCCGTCAGCCGTCAGCTGAAATTTTGGAAAGAAACGTAAGTTAAAGTGTGATGTAAAGTCTTGTATTAGTAGGGGAACAATAATAAAACAAGGCATTAACAGCTTTAACAATCTGTCATACATATTTTTTTGTGTGACAGATATAGAATGTTCAAGCTTAATTAAGAGAGCATAAAAACTATAAGTTTGTTAAATCGAAAAGAACCAAAAAAACTGATGATCATGAGTAGAAAGACGAGGAATTTTATTGTAAAATCTGAAAAAGAAAATGCTTCAAAATGGTCGCGCAGTCAAAAAGCTATTTAAAATTGAATTGAACATTGAACAAACTTATTTATTCGTGAACTTTTTTTCCTTACTGTGAAACTTTAGCAGATCTACTAGACTTTCAAGTTTAACTGAATGAATTAGTGTTAACATCTAAAAAACTGTGTGGTTCAATTCGCATTTCGGGATTGTTGCCGGGGAAAGCAAAAACTAAGATCTGTGTTTGTTCGGCTTCGTCACAATCGTCTCCTTCTTCGTTTTCACGAGAAATTCTCAACTCAAAAATGAAAGAAAGTAAAATTTCATGTAAATTTCATGCAAATTTCATGCAAATTTCATGTAAATACTCAGAGTTTATTGCCTTGTAAGACGATTGGTGATTGTTTTAGATGAGCAGATCCAAGTTTCGTGAAAAACATGAACGCTTTTTGGTGACCTCCGGTCGGGGTTCGAACCTGAAAAGAGCGATTTCTTACAAGGGAAGATCAACTGGAGAGGCTGACCAAATGGCATTGGCCATTGACTATTCGACGCAGAATTTCACGCTGAGCACTATGCTGCTTTCCATTTTTGCTAAACGGCATCCTGTCAAAAGTTATACTCGTTTAAAGTTTGTAAAGAGTTTCAAAAATCAAAAATAGCACTTTTCAGAGCCGGAAAAAGTGCACGGGTGGCCGAGTGGTAGTAGGTTAGAAAAAAAATGCAAGACTTGCCGGGTTTGAATCCGTCAGCCGACTCTTGTCTTACTTTTTCTAGGTTTAAATGGCTTTAAATGGATAGCTGACCTCCGCGTGGACTGATGAACAAGTTATACGCAATTTGATGTGAACGATCTGGTTGCTGCTTATCTATATTTGTGGTGTGTCAAATTTTGTACGATTGTGTGCGGAAATAATTGAACACACGAGGCATTTAAACCTAAAAAGCCGATTCGACTTGCGTTTTTTCGAGTTCGACCGATTCGAACCGGGCAGGTCTCGCTTGGGATTCTAAACTACTACCACTCAGCCAGCCCTGCACGTTTGCTGGCCTGAAAAGTCCGTTTTTAAGATCTATGTTTGATTTTTGAAACTCCTTACAAGCTTTAAATGCGTATAACTTTTGAGAGAGTGCTGTCATGTAAAAATGGAAAGCAACATCGTGCTGAAATTGGCCTATGGCTCATGACATCGAATGGCCTATGGCTCATGGCATCGAATGGCCTATGGCTCATGGCATCGAATGGCCTATGGCTATTGGCATCAAATGGCCTCTGGCTCATGGCATCAAATGGCCTCTGGCTCATGGCATCAAATGGCCTATGGCTCATGACATCGAATGGCCTATGGCTCATGGCCAGTCTATTCAGTTGACCGTCCCTTGTTAGTAACAATAGATATGGGTCGGAATCTAAGTTCCATAAGCTCCAGTTCTATCAACAAGCTCCAATTTCGAAACTGAATCTAGCTTTTGAGCCCAGACACTCCCCGGATTCAGATGTTTTTTTCTACAATCCGATCACTAAATTCACCTTCATCACGTCGGGCGTCATGGTAAGTAGTGGCTTGTTACTCGGCGAGATACCTAGCCACGGATGGACGCCCATCGAATGGCATTGAGCGAGCACATCGGTAAAGACAATGTCCCTAAAGTTGAACTTTGTAGCGATAAAACACATATTTAATGGAACCATAAATAACAGAAAATTGGTCTTTAAGTTGCCCACTGAAATTTGCGGCCTCGATACTGTTCGACGGTATACATACTGGTGAGCATTCCGTTGTGCTGATGCGGTTGATTGACAACATTTGAAAAAAGCTTTTTTACCTCAAGAAAGAGAAAACAAGCCGGCAAATTTGTCCTCTTGTCAATCAGTGCCGCACTGGCGAGCCGCGAAAGGCGATACCGGAAATCAAAAATGTAAAGCTTAGAGATTGAGAGGAGATCTGATTGAGATTGAGATCTGATTGAGATCAGAGATTAAGCTATAGGCCCAAATTTTTGAATTCACTGATTTATTTTCAAAAACGACTCACTTTAAGGCTTCTGCTTCGTCCGAGGCTGCGTAAGGCCAATGATGCAAAACAAAGTCGACATCTTCGGCTCTCAGTGGACCGAGAGTGAACCTTAAAGTGATCAAATCATTTCTTTATGCATGAAGATACAGTCCGTAGCACATCATCTGGATCACCGCCTAACTACCGATCCTAGATTTTGAGCCCAGACACTCCCCGGATTCAGATGCTTTTCCCTACAATCCGATCACCAAATTCACCTTCATCGCGTCGGGCGTCATGGTAAGTAGTGGCTTGTTACTCGGCGAGATACCTAGCCACGGATGAATCTTGTTCTTTTTTTTTCTTTTTATGTTTTTGCATGTTAAACGTAGAAAAACTAACGATTGCAGAAAATTGCAGAAAAAACAATTTTAAAACTTAAAAAGATAGTTAAATGACCGTATTACATCAGCTAGATCATGCGAATTTTCTTGTCTTTGTTGCTTTTTTTACGGAGCTTTCTTCTCTACCGGAATATTGAACTTTTTCAAGTAAATGGCACCAGATCGCTAACCGATTATCGATTTTCAAATTGATCTTTTAGTCAAGGATTGTTCAATCAAAAAATTGCTACAAAAGTGAAATCTTCTCATCAAACGATTGCCAGATACCTTGAAAACCTGGCTCAATATGGAAAAAAGAAACAAACAAGCAAAAAAGCTATCAGAAAAAAGCTATAAGCTTTGACCAAAATCCCTGTCACATTGCTAACAGCCTTGATGGAAAATCGATATCTCAAGTCAGAAAAGAGCTAAACCTTGATGTTTTCAAAGTGACAATTGATGTGATACGGACTGTATACCGAATATAAGCCATATTCAAGGAAATTGTACCCTTCGGGAATAGGACGAGGTGTCAAATCGTTTGCGGCCGAATCAGGAATGCACAAAAGGAACTCGTGACCGGGACCGCACTCTATTTGGTGCATTTGCAAGATGAATCGTGCCTGGGAACATCGGTAAATATCAACATTGGCCCTGCTCCATGTATTTTCACGGAATTTTAAACTTTTTATGTCAGTCCTTGCACTCACCTCTTCTCTGGCTGCCTCGTTATCGGCGGTCATCGTGCCATGTGCGTTTGGAGGTAGACCTAGCAATGAAACAATAAAGTTTGAGGTTAAAATTCCTTGGTCACTTCTAAAATCTGGACATTCGCCGAGTACTTTGGTGAAAGCAAAACGAAAATCGTTGGCATCGAACTCGCCAAAAATCCCAATATAGATGTTGACTCTAGAAAAGTTTATTCATTTATTCATGCTTTAAAAATCAAAGTTTTTCTTGAGATCTCAATGCTAAATGGGGCCACGGTCAACCATACATTATGAAACTTTAATGATTTTTAAGGAAAACAAACATTTAACAATTATCTTTGATCATTTGAATCATTTGAATCATTTGAATCATTTGAAACAAAACAATCTTTGATCGGTTCACATTTCAAAGAATCGTGCCAATTTCATGCCAATTTCATGCCAATTTCATGCCAATTTCATGCCTATTCGACAAAATAGAGAACCAAAAAAACAAACCGAAACAGAAATCTTTTCACAAAAAACCAATATTTCGAGTCATGCTCTTTTGAATATGAATACAGATGCAGAGAGATCTCAGGAATTCGGCCGATAAAGTGCAGCTCTATGGAAGCTGTAATGTTCCTGAGACGTGGATGGATGGAGAGCTGATTGAGAGCCAATTCAAGCTGTTCTCTGCTCTCATATTTTTCAAGCATTGCATCAATTGAAAGAAAAAGCTTGAATTAGAGAGATGGTCTTGTTGAATCGATAAGACTTTCTTGATTAGAGAAGAGAAAAGGACGAGAGATCAGGAAATCTTTTTACAAATCATTGTTTTTTTCTACACGATCTCTACCGCTTTTTGAAACCTTGAAAGAAGCAAATTTTGAAGGTCAAAAGAAATAATATTAAATAAAATAATTCCCAGAGGGTAAATAGAGGTTTGAAAAATGAAAAAATATTTTCAATTTAACTTCTACAAGAATTCTACACCAATTCTTTGGATAAAGCTTTGTACAGAGAGCTGTATAAAGCTAGCGAGTGCTTTGCATATTTCAAATGAATTTAAATGAAAGACTCTTTCCCTCAATTGTGGTCTTTTGAAAGATTTGTGGTCTTTTGAAAGATTTGTGGTCTTTTGAAAGATTTGTGGTCTTTTAAAAGTTTCGTGGTCTTTTAAAAGTTTCGTGGTCTTTTGAAAGATTTGTGGTTTTTTAAAAGTTTCGTGGTCTTTTAAAAGTTTCGTGGTCTCTCGTAAAATAAAAATTATTAGACAGAATTTTTTTTGCTAATGAACTTTTTTTGAGAATCAGATCTCCAAACTTCAAGGTTCACTATCGAATCGAAAATTGTTATTTCGTCGTCGAATTTTTGGCTATTGATAATCAAGTCAATTTTAAATTTAACCTTCTGGAATACTAGCATATTTGCTAAATGTGCAAAAGAATTTCTAAATGCACAAGAATTTCTGGGAAGGAGTTTCTGAAGTTCAGCGACACTTTCGAGAAAGCTCAAGAAGAACAATAATCTCTCTGAACTTATAGATTTGTGCAGAAATTTTGTGCACGTTTAAAAACATGACAAAGTTTTACTTCATAAAGTGTATGATCAATTGGTACCATTGAAGATCGTTGGCAAACAACTTTGCAGATAAAACGCGGAGTCTGATCATTGGAATTGATAGAATGAATAGATTTTCATTCATATTCATATTCTCGAAAAATATTTTGTGCATAAATCAAAAAAAAATCAAAAGGGAACATGGTTGTAAATTCCCTTTATTCATTTTATATAAAACTCGGAAAACCCTGGAGAAAACTCTATGAATTTCGTTTTGGATTGATACTGTTGATGGTTTTGCTTCGAGTAAAGTGGGGTGAACGAGGAGAAATTTCGGTGTCCGGAAGTAAGCGAATCGCAGCTCCGGCCATGAATCCCGGTCGTTTACAGACAAAGTACGGCACACCATAGCCATCAAACGTGCTGACTATATTCCAATTCCCCTCCTCAATCGGCCCACAAGCTGTACAGGTGGCGTCCCCGATCTGTGATGTTTTCAATGATTATGATTCAATAGATTCCTATCTTTTAACTTTACGATAATGTCATATCAATATTTTGCGACCAGAAAAGTCTTAGACCAGTTTGCTAACAACAAACAATTACCATTAAAATGTCCGAATCACGAGAATCCTCGCAGATCGTTTGCTCGTAATCGAGAGGCGTCCCATCAATCCATGTCATTTTTCCAGCAACCTAATTTTTACAACATTACAATAGCAATGAGCTTTATACGAAGCAATGATCATAGCAGTTTCAATGATCATAGCAGTTGCAATGATCATAGCATTGCAATGAACATAGCAGCTGCAATGAACATAGCACTTGCAATGAACATAGCACTTGCAATGATCATAGCACTTGCAATGATCATAGCACTTGCAATGATCATAGCAGTTGCAATCATAGTAGTCTTTTTTGAAAACGTCTAACCCTTTTGCCACCAGTCAGAAATGATCCCCCGTAGTCTCCAAAAGATCGTGTAGAGCAAGAAGTCGGGCAGCACATTGCTAAACAATCGTGCTTTTCTCGTTTCATCTACTCAATAACAGCGAAAAGCATTCGCTGTTATTGAGAAGACCTCACAAGGGAACCACATATACAGTCGACGCTCGATAGTAAAACATTGAAGGGATTCTACAAAAATGATCTACTATCGAGAGTTTTGCCTAATCAGTCCTAAAAACATAAAAAAAAAACACTGTGAATAAGCTGATAAATATGATTTTGTGGCTTTAAAGCGACGTTTAAATGCTGAAACACTAGTAAAATCCGAAATTTTTGTTTGTTTAGTGCGCAAGGATGCTCAAGTGCTCAAGGATGAAATTCTCAATCTTATGGAATCCGCAAATAGTCGACGTGTCGCTCGTATTTGCTTCGGTTAAAAATTGCTGAACAATAATAAAAGCTTTACAAGCTTCTTTCTGTGCAACTACTTTCTTCGAGACTTCGTTTTCTTCATAGAATGGGAACCAAATCTGTAGAGAAAAGGAGCCAAATCTGGAGAGAAAAGGAACCAATTCTGTAGAGAAAAGGAACCAATTCTGTAGAGAAAAAGAACCAAATCTGTAGAGAAAAGGAACCAATTCTGGACAGAAAAAGAACCAAATCTGTAGAGAAAAGGAGCCAAATCTGGAGAGAAAAAGAACCAAATCTGGAGAGAAAAAGAACCAAATCTGTAGAGAAAAGGAGCCAAATCTGGAGAGAAAAGGAGCCAAATCTGGAGAGAAAAAGAACCAAATCTGGAGAGAAAAAGAACCAAATCTGTAGAGAAAAGGAGCCAAATCTGGAGAGAAAAGGAGCCAAATCTGGAGAGAAAAAGAACCAAATCTGGAGAGAAAAAGAACCAAATCTGTAGAGAAAAGGAACCAAATTTATATAGAATGAGAACCAAATCTGTAGAGAAAAGGAACCTCGCGAGTCGTGAGTGTTGGGTTGAAGTCAATTTCAATTCCCCAATGCGAAATTCAAACGGCGCACTATTTTTTTTTCCATTCCAATTCACCTAACCATTTTGGAATTATAATATTGTTTTGATCTACTTAATGCATATTTTTATCTGATCCAACCTACACTTGACCCAAAACTCTAGCCTAAACACATCTTAAACTTCATCTAAACACATGATTTAAGTCTAAACACGAGATTGCGTGCACAAAACGCGTGTGGATGCATAAAAGAATGGTACCATTGCTTGCTGTTTAACATTTGTAATTTTCAATTTTAATTGTTTTGTTTTTAGCATTTAATCAAAATCAAACCAAAAAAAGTTCGAACACAGACTCGAAACCGAGAGCATTCGCTTTGTAACTGCACGCACTGCCACTACACTACCCCGCAGTGAATCCATCGTGCTCACTAGCCGCAATATAGTTGCGGAGAGAAAAACCCCATTGTCTTACCAAATATTAAAAACACTATAACTACCGTGATCTTGGAGCTTTGTAGCTGAATTTTTGTTATGTTGTTCCCCAGAATCGATTCTACCTACCCACCAATTTTGGGGCCAAGTCTATGTGGTTCCCTTGTTAGATTGGATGTTGCAATACATTTAGAGATCCTTACTCCAAAGGAACTTATTTTCCGCGTCACTATGGATGGAAGCAAGATGACCCCCCTGGTTTTGACAATAAGCTTCTGCCGCTGAGGTGGTTGAGTTGTAGCCGACCTGGAGTGTCAATGTTATCATTTTGTAAGGATAGATCGCAAGATAAATTGCTCATGGAAAACTATAGAATCAAAGAATTATGTTGTATATGTAGAATCAAAGAATAGAGAGAAATGAGCACAGAAAAGATACTATTCCTACTAATGCTATTTCTATAGAAATCTAGCGCTCGATCAGGTCAATTTCTGCTTATTGGCCGGGCGCTTAACTTCAAGAAACCCACAAGATATGAGCTATCCGTGTTTGGGAAATATTGCCAGCCGTTGTAGCAAGTGTAGAGAGGTTGAACAGACGCTAAGATAAATGTGTATAAAAAGCTAAAAGTCACACTGACGATTTTGGCAAGTGAGAGGAGCGATAGTTGGTGGCATGTATGTGGAGTCGGAGTGGTCGGTCGCTGGTGGTGTGGTGGGCCACGCGGTAGTTGTGCAGCCACCATTTATGATTTGCGGGATGCTGCACCTGAGATGTAAAGGTTTTGCTGAAGTTTTGCTGAAGAATAATGTAAATACATGAAGGGAAGAGGGTTCGAGCAGTCGACGGACGTCCACTTGGCCGTCCGCTTTTCAACGGAAACGCAATTCAAACGGGGTTCACCTAAATCAGATTGTAAAGCAACTTTTGAGAATGACCTCTTCTCAGATCCTTTTATTTTTTAGGTCCAACGTTTTTGCTACTATAGTTTGCTACGATTTTCACGTTCCGATTTTGATACAAATATGGTGCCAATAAGGTTCCAATACGGTTCCAATACGGTTCCAATACGGTTCGGATTATGAGACAAATTAGGTTCTAATAAGGTTCCAATACGGTTCCAATACGTTTCCAATAAGGTTCCAATACGGTTTCAATACGGTTCCGATTATGATACAAATATGGTTCCAATATGGTTCCAATACGGTTCCAATACGGTTCCAATACGGTTCCAATACGATTCCGATTATGATACAAATATGGTTCCAATATGGTTCCAATACGGTTCCAATACGGTTCCAATACGATTCCGATTATGATATTCCTTCTATTAGGTTGATGCATAAGTCTTTTCGTTTTTTTCGTACTTCCGTTAAAAAGTAACAAATGCACCAATTGAACAACGGTTTATTGCATTCGAAAGGCCAATTATTTTTCTGCAAAATGACATTAAAACGAGTTTAAAATGTCTTATGTCTAGATTTTTTTGAGAGCCTGAAGTCGGGTAGTCAAAAAAGGCGACGGCTCGATGATGCATTTTAGACGCTTTAGCTAAGGAAACCAATCTTGATGTTAATAAATAAAAGATAGAGCACAAAAAGTTCGATATTTTTTCAGATTTTCAGAGAAATTGATTCAGCCAATTTCTTTATAGAGGTTTTTATAGATTTTTATGAAAAACCCGTTTTCACTCTCGAATTTGCTTGAAAGTGAACCCAAATTGACTTAAAAAGATGGGAAATTGAACAATAAACACTTTTCATTTAGAGCAAACCATAGGTTAATTCATGACTTTGTTATTTTTCAAAAGAAGTATGAAAAGAAACGAAAAGACTTATGCATCAACCTAATAGTATTAAGTGTGGTCACTTGGTGACTCGCGCCGAAGACACACACTCGCTTTACTGCAACCATCAAATTTGGTGTTTCGAAACGGACCGGCATTCCAGTTGTCATAATCCCAGGGTGTTCCATCAGTCCACGTCCACGAGGTGCCGTTCTTTCGCCCACCAATGTAGAAATATCCCCTGCTGATCTCTATAAAGCAATTTAGTTCTTTTGAATCGTGCAAAAAAACACACCTGCATACGATACACCCGTCAAGAAACTGTCCGTATCAAGATCGTGGATCGAGAAGAGATGTCCGTTGTAGGCCTGGCAATACTTATCGGCCAATGCGAAAGAGACCACTACAGATTTCAGTAAATTGGAAGAAAGACCGTAGACCTACAATTATTGTCAGCATGCAGACACGATTGGACCTCATCAACATAGGTCGATCCGGGTGGGCAAGACAGAGCCGCATTTTCCTGGGTTAGGCATTTGTCTTGATATCCACAGAGATATGGCAGATTCGAGGCACAGTCAACCGTTCTCCAAAATTTGTCGTTAGAATCCAAATAGACACAATCCCCATTGCCCGGCCCTCCTAGGAATCTATTTTCCTTGTTCATTTTCTTTCGATTACCATTTGCCCAGTTGGTGTAATTAGTGACGGTTCCATCCGTCCAAACGAATACGCCGTTTACCCTCTGCAACCCCAGGTAGCCACGCTTTTGCGTCAATCCTGTAAACATATTCATTAGAGGAGAAGAACGAATGAATCATTATGAATGTTAAATATGGATCGATGGGCCATATGTGGGCCGACCGAATGGCCGACTCTCTGTCATCCCAACCCCGGCCAACTCGATCCCACTTTTTATTCCGGTAAACCCGGTCCGCTGGAGCGACTGGGTCGGGTTGGGATGTATGACAATATAAATAGTAAATTCCTTTGTCAATTTCTATCTGTAATAAGTTAAGATTTCTCAATTGTCTCAATGAACCCACTTGTGAGCTGAATTCCAGTGATCATCGAGTTGATGAATGAATTTGGAATCGAGAGGAGATGGCCACCGAGTGCCTGGCAATACATCTCAGCGTAACCCATCGGAGCGACTGAACGGGAGACAATTTTGTGTGCCCAAAGATCAAAGCATACCATCATTCTCCGGTTGTATACAAGCTCCGTATTCATCCACATAGAAGGATCCGGGCGAGCAATCCGGCTCCTGAGCTAGCGCCCCAGCTGACAAAATTGCAAGAAAGAGCCAGGCTCTCATTTCACCTAAACACACAGGCGCTGTGTGCAAAAATGAACGAAATTCAGCCGTTTACGAATCATTCGCAATCGGCTAGCCATTTACAAATGAAATTTTTCTCTAGAAATTTACATCTTAAACATTTCATTCGTAAATGGCTGAATTTGATTCGTAAACGGCCACGCATAAAGGAAAAAGTTTAACATTTTTTAGAACTCCGTATGCAGGAAAAAGTAGATGAAAGAAGTTCGTGCTTAAAAATTCGGTTTTTTTAAGAACGAGACTAAAAGATCTCCAAAGACAGTTCAAATTCAACGTTTTGTATCATAAAGTGAAAAATAGATGGCCTGTTATGTGCAGAATCCGACAAGGGAATGATCCGAACTGGCCGCACGATTTCGTTACGCCGTTAAGATGCAAACGTCTATCGAGCATAGGGAACACGTTGGCTTTTAAAGTGTTGAGCTTCTGAGAAAACTTAGAAACGATAAAATAGTCACTAACTCGGCCCCGGCCGGGTGCACTACTATTAGAGAAAATACGGTATATTTAGAGTTAAAGCCTGAAAACAAGATTTAGGAAACCGTATCAAACCGTATCGTAATATCAAATTATCGTATTTCCCTGATGCACTACTATCAAGTAGTGCAAGCCTCGCCTAAACTGCTCAAAATCTCGAAAAGCGCTTATCAGAACCTATCGATGTGGGGTCGGAAAATGTAGCTGACGATAAGGTCTAGTGGGGGATTAAAGTGTTGAGCTTCTGCGAAAACTTTGAAACCGTAAAATAGTCATCAACTCGGCTCGCCGCGGTGCACTACTATTAGAGAGAATACGGTAAGGCTGCAAAAACTTCGTTTTAGTTTTAGTACATGTACTTGTCATGATAAATTGATTAACCTCTAGCTTACGCTTGGCCGATAACTCAATTTGGACTACGATAAATGAATATTTCAAACCAATCTTCGGTTTTTTGAAACAACAAGATCCAATGACAAATTAAACGAAAAATCAAATGACAAATTACCGTATTCTTAATAGTAGTGCACCCTAAACTTTGCCTAATATTAGTGCACCCTAAGCTTTGCCTAAATTCCTCGAAATCTCGAGAACCGCTTATCAGAACCTATCGATGTGGGGTCGGAAAATGTAGCTGACGATGAGATCTTTTGGGGGATTTGAGTGTTGAGCGTCGGCAAAAGGTCAGCACTTTTTCGTTTATTTCCGGGGTTTTTAAGTGTCATCTTTTCTTAAAAATTCACTTATCCCAACAAAATCCGGCCACGTTAACGGCGGGAAGCAAAAGCCCATATACCGTATTCTCTCTAATAGTAGTGCACCCTAAGCGTTGCCTAAATTCTTCGAAATCTCGAGAACCGCTTATCAGAACCTATTGATGTGGGATCGGAAAATGTAGCTGACGATGAGATCTAGTTGGTTTTTAAAGTGTTGAGCTTCTGCAAAAACTTAGAAACCGGAAAATAGTCATCAACTCGGCTCGGCGCGGTGAATTCGAGGTGCGATCGCCGAGGTGCGATTTCCCGAGTAGGCGCCCAAACTTTGCAAGCGTTTTTCTCGTGAACCATTGAGAATGGGCAAAAAAATCAATAGAGCATCGTGTTCCCCATGCTCGATAGACATTTGCTTCTTAATGGCGTAGCGAAATCGTGCGGCCAGTTCGGATAATTCCCTTGTGCGTCCATAGCATTTGAATAGGCTCCCCGGTGCTTATCAGCAATAAAACGCAAAGAAATTCTGCTCAACTTTTTGTGAATCCGGTTTCCCGAGGCTTCTTATCACAAAATGACTTTGTCTCTTTGTCTATGACTTTGTCGGTTTATTGTAAACCGTTTTTCCTTCCCCAATCGTCTATACTATTTACAAGCAGAAGGGGAGCTTTTTTGCGAAAATAGGAATGTACTGATACAGGAAATGTTTTTTGGGCTTGATTTTTCATCAATTTACTGGTTGGGAGCAAATCTTTAATAAATTAATAAAATGCAAATTATCAGATAAATGGGATTTTGTGCTTTTTTGGACATATCGAGGCATCGCAACTTGTAATTTTTCGCACTAAATTCAGCACAAGTTGAAAAGGCTGCGACAAGTTTTTATCATTCGATACCTAAAGGGATTTGAACATGAAAATTCAATATTTACAAGTTCAAAGCTATGAAATAATGATTTAGCTTGTCAAAAGCGGTTTTTGCTTGCTCAGGTTGGCACGCTTCTGCGTCATTAGTAGAATTTTTGTCTTTTTTAGACGATTGCTTACTGGACTTTATTGTGCCGATTTATCTTTTCTAAAATATTTATTTATATAATGAAATCTATCTGCCACTTTATTAGGTACATATACATAGAATGAAGGCATTGTATTGCTCATTTTTCAAATAAAAATCCTCTCACTTGTCACCTCTTCTAGTTCATTCGGCTTTCTACCTTTCTATTGGTGTCCTTGGGGAAAGCTTGGGGAAAGGGTAAAATCGGGATTCGAAAAACACTTGTTCGACTTGGATTCTATTCAAATTGTCGACGCATTCAATTCAACTTGTCGATGCATTCAATTCAACTTGTCGATGCATTCAATTCAACTTGTCGATGCATTCAATTCAACTTGTCGATGCATTCAATTCAAAAGATTTCTATAGAACTATCATACAATTAGGAAGATGGGATGTAAACAGAAAAAAATGTTTTTAAAAGAATCTATAACATAAAAAGCAAGGAAATGTCGATTTGCAAGAATCTTCAGTGATGTTAAACGTTAAAGTTGACCCGAAACTTTTATTCAAATTTTTATAGCGGTTTTTGCTGAATTTGTGGGGTGGTGCAAAACTTTTGTCTGCCACTGTACATGGTAAATCAAAAATGTTTATTTACATTCAACGATCTTTACTCTTCCGTTTTTGTTACTTTTATCGTTTCGTTTCCGGAAACAAATCAAACTAATCAGGCTAAACTTACAATAAGATAATTTGATTTGATTGTTGCAAACCTGGAGACTAAATTAAAAAATGGGATTCCGACAGCAGAAAAGAGCGATTGAATAGTGGATTGAATATTGATGCCAAAGAAAATGTTCATTCCGATGTTCAGCAAAGAAGCGAAAATTGTGTTTAGCATGATGATGAAAGAGTTTGTCAACATCTAAAAAAAGATATCACATCCCCAGCAGAGCCGCAAAATTCAGCGTATAATTTCAGATCATGCGAAATTTCGTGTTTTTTTTTCCGGGCTGATAATAGGTTGATGCAAAAGAAATTTCGGTTTTTTACAAACATTAAATTAAATCTAAATTCCTTTAGGTAACAATTTATTCCAAAAAATAAGCACGATCGTTATCTATAACATTCCTCCAACCTTACTTCAGATTGTGAATTAGGGAATCTTGATCTGGAATCTGTAGTCGAAGAACTCTTGATTCTGATTGAAAGTAGTCGGTCACCCAAATCTCCACCCTTGCGCATTTTTAATTCTCAAGGAAATGTTGCATTGATCTGAACAGATGAAAATCAGATGGTGATAAGTCTAGACTATATGGCGATATAATTCCTTCCATCCTAATTCCGCTAACTCCATACAAGAAGGCTTTGGTGAAATTCGTTTCGACGATTCGACGAATTTTCTCCTTTCAGAGAAACTCTGAAAGACAAGAGCCAATATCAAATTGCTTGCAATTCATGGCTGCTGTCGAATTTCATCACAAAGTAGAGTGAAGTGCCTTTTGAGTTGACCAAATGCATGCTCAACATCGCTTTGAACGGCTCTTGAAACCTTTGAACGGGTGAAATTCGCTTCGATGATTCAAAGGATTCAAAATAGGCTTATAAAAAGAATTTTTCATTTCACTTTCAGCTATTTATGATTGTCAATAGGGAATCTTGAACTGGAATTTGTAGTCGAAGAACTCTTGATTCTGATTGAAAGTAATCGGTCACCCAAATCTCGACCTCTTGCGCATTTTGAATTCACAAGGAAATGTTGCATTGATCTGAACAGATGAAAACCAGATGGTGATAAGTCTAGACTATATGGCAATATAAGACCTTTCATCCTAATTCCGCTAACTCCATACAAGAAGCTTTCGCCGTATGAGCTGGCGCATTGTCACGGAGAAAATTGACAGTCAAGGGATTTAAACCCTTTTGACGCAAAATTTGGTTAACCTTCTTGAGCTGTTGAATAAAACATGAATCAACTATTTTTCCGGACTCTAATAATTCGAAATAAACAAGTCCGTTGATATTCCACCAGCAAGGCCAGATCACTTTGCGCTCGCGATAATCCGGCTTTGAAGTTGGAATTGGCCTTTGACCCATGCTAAGCCATTGTCTTGTTCGAGAAGTGTTATCGAAAAGAATCCACTTCTCGTCAAATATTCTCAAAAAAGGCTTCTTTTCGACTTGAAAAGCAAGATGACTGATATGGCTGATAGAAACGCGTGCTCCCAGATCCTCGGTGCTCAATTCATGTGGATCCCATTATTCATTACGATTGGTTTTTCCGATTATTTCCAAATGGCGGGCAATTATTAATTGATCACATTGGAGATGTTTGCGTTTTGTTTGCATCCTTGCTCTTGTGCTTTTGCATTGGATCGGCTTCAATAAGTTGTCCCAATTCATTATTATTGATCGCTGCCAAGCGATGCTCATGTGGTTCGTCTTCAAGAGATTTAAAACCTTCTCGGAATCGGGTAAACCAGAGCTGGCAGGATCTTTTGGCCATAACTTGTTCTCCAAAAGCGGAACAGAGATCACGATGTGATTCGACAACGTCTTGCCCATCTTGAAATCGCACAACATATCTACTTTTAATCCATCATGATCTAAAGCAAGTATCAATTAAAAAGTGAAAGCGCTGACTTAGAAAAAACGTAAAAATAAAGTAAATATCCAAGAATATAAAGATAAAAAAGAAAATCAATAAGATTTTCAGAAATAGAACATTTTATATCAACTGAATTTTCTTTTGCATCAACCTATTAGGAGTTATTAACAAGATCCGAAGACTCGTTT